AGGGATGTTAAAGATCATCTAGTTCCAAACCTGTTTGCACAGCCTGGTCACAGTGCTTCTGGTCAGATCTACATCTGTGGGCCTGCTCTGTCCTGTCAAGTGGGAGATAGGAATGTAGGAGGTAGCAATATGGTTTTTAGCAGCAGTATGTGCAGCTACTTTGGTGTTACTAGAGGCTTGCCAGTGGCAGAGGTCCAGCCCAGGCTGTTTCCCATGTTGTGCCTTGAACCCCATTGTCTTCTACCCTCAGTCAACTGCGGGTTTGGCTTCTTAACAGGTATGACTCTACTCAATGCACATATAAAGTCTTGGACGCATTGACGTCTTGTAGCTATAGGCTTTGTCTGTTCTCTGACTACCTAAATGGCAATACAAGGCAACACTGTTTTCTCAGTTTTTTATTGTGCAATATTAAATACGTGCTGATTTCCTTTATTACCTTTGGCAGGTTTACAAGGCCCACCAGGCCCACCAGGTGCTTTTCAGCTTGTTAAAGGGGATCCTGGCTTGCCCGGCCCTGTAGGACCAGTTGGTCTCAAAGGATTCCCAGGACTTCCAGGTCCCAAAGGACAGCAAGGTGAGAGTTTCTAACTTGCCAGTAGAAATACATTTTAAATAACATAAAAATAGACCAATGGTAGGCTAGACTCCAGAAGATTTTTGGTATAATATTATCCAGCTTTTTATAAGCCACTGAAATTGTGTCAGCGATGAGGAAGAGATCCTTCTTTTTGAAGCTCATCCAGTCACAGAAGCAGATGCCTTCCTAGTGATTTTTCTGCAGGCTCTCACTGCAGTCTTCACATCAGTATCTGAGATCAGCAGCAAGCAGAATGACTTGCAACACACTGCTCATCCTTTCCCCAGAATGTATTTGTTAGGGTATCCTCTGTCTTTAGTGTTGAATCCAAGCTTAATTACTGTGTGTCTCTGGGAGAAGACAAGCATGAGGAAAAACACTGTGATCTTGGAGCGGAAAGTGCTTCCCAAGGAAGTTTATTCCATAACCCTAGATTTCGACTTTTAGTCCAGACATTGAAATTTTTATTAAGAAAAGCTGAACTGCAAAAATTAAACACATTAGGAAATAAGAGAATGGAGCAAAAGGTAAAAGAATGAAATGCTGGCTCAAAGACACATGTCCTTCAGAATGACAGGACATGGAGAGTGAGAGCTCAGAGGTGTTCTTAAGCTATTAAAATTCTAAGGAAAAGTTTTCCTTCTTATTGTTTTGGGAGAAGATGATGGGGAATTACGGTGGAATATAATTAATATCTTCCTTCTATTTAATGTAGTAGATACAGAAGTTTGCTCTTGAAGGTGGAGTTACAACTCTGCAACTGTCGCCAATTAGGAAATAGCTATGAAATAATCTCAGTGATTGAACACAGCATGGGTTTTCTTGTATGGGATCTGTCACTGTTCTCTACTAGTCACTTCAATACATGAACACAATATTGCTTTTTGAGTGGTCAGGAAAAGGACAGCTTTGTCTATCTAAAGCTTCTGATGTGCCACAGAAATGTTGGCACGATGCTGATGGTGTTAACTTCTTTTTCCCGAAGTCAGAGTTACTAGAAATTGATAAAGGGAAGACATAATATATGTCCAAAAACTTGCTTGGGAAGAAGCTAAGAGAATACTGATGATCCTACTATTTACGGTCTATTTTTGATTGAGTCATATGATAAGCATAAAGGGAAGAGATTGCTGCCCTTCCTTTTCATATTCCAGGAAAATACTAGTTATTTCAGAAGCCCATCCTCTTCTTACTTCTCTGTTCTTCTCTGCTATAATCACATCTCCTGCAGTAACCCACATATGTGCTCTAGATATTGAAATATACTCACTGAATCTGTATGAGTTTGGTTTATACTGAGGTATGCCTGTGCTGTACCATATGAAAAGCCAACAAGTCGGAACTAACATGAAGTAATACCCAGTAATAACTGTTCCTTGTTTTTCAACAGGGGTGACAGGACCTTCAGGTGTACCTGGACCACCTGGTAGTCCAGGGTTTGATGGTAAACCTGGGCAAAAAGGAGAAGTTGGTCCTTATGGTCCCCCAGGTAAGCCCATGAGTTCTTCAAAGACTTGGCTCCTTGCTAGAAAAACAACGTAGGAGATTAGGTGTGAACGTATCTAATTTCACTTCTTCGGTTATGTAGGCAGAGTACTGCTGTTTGTAGAGATAAAAGAACGCTCTCTCTATTGTAGGGCCCAGAGGATTCCCTGGTCCACCTGGCCCTGGAGGTTTGCCAGGTGCTATGGGCCCACCAGGTGCACCATCTGTTGCTCATGGCTTCCTTGTTACCCGACACAGTCAAACCACTGAAGAACCGTCGTGTCCGTTTGGAACAAGGCTGATTTACCATGGCTACTCCCTGCTTTATGTACAAGGCAATGAAAGAGCCCATGGCCAAGATCTGGGTAAGTAGAGACCAAAGGAGAATTCAATTAGAATTCATTACAAACCAAATGTTTCTTTCATTTGTAGAACTGTATTGAATAAACCTGTGTAATTATTCTTGGCTAGCTGGTGCTTTATTATGCCTTCTAGGTTGGTACAGATAATGGTTTAGTGTATAGTGGAAACAATCTCAGTTTATTTAAGAAAGTCTTTGTCAAAGCCTTTGACGTGGTCATCCATAGTATCTTTGTAGTCAAATTAGCAAGATATGGGCTGGCTAAGTAGATGATAAGGTGAGTGGAAAACTGATGGGTCCGTCAGCCTCAGAGGGATGTGATCAGATGTACAAGATCTGAGTGGTGGTTGTTGATTAGTGATGTCCCTTGGGAATTAGTACTGGACCAATATTGTTTAAGGAATTTCTTAATGACTTGGGTGGTAGGATAGAGGGCACTCTGAGCAAGTTTGTGGGTAATGCCAGATTGGGAGGAACAGTTGATTCCCTAGTGGACACAGCTGCCATTCAGAAGGATCTAGCCAAGCTGGAGAAAAGGGCTAAGAAGAACTTCAAGAAGCTCAGTAAAGGCAAATGCAAAAGGGTACACCAAAACGAAATAACCTCGTGCGACAGGACAGACTGAGGACTGGCTGCTATTTTCAGTAGCAGCATTACCGGCTGCTGGGAAGCTGCTTTGCAGAAGAGGACCTGGGAGTCCTAGTGAGCAGCACTGAACATGAGTTAGCAGTGTGCCCTTACAACAACTGCCCCATTCCCTACTGCCCAACCTACTGGGCTCTACTGACAAAAGTGCAACCAGCAGATGGAGGAAAGCGATTCTTCCCCTCTGTTTGGCAGTTGTGAGACCACATTTGGGCCTCCCAGAACAAGGAAGATGTTGATATACTGCAGTGAATACAACAGTTCTACTAAGATGGATAGTGGGGTCTGGACAGACTGATGGAACTGGGTTTGCTCAGCCTTTACAGAAATTTAGGGAAGGCCTTTATTGCTGTCTCCAGCTGTCTCCAGGGAGTGTAGAGAAGACGGAGCCAAGCTCTTCTCAGAGAGGCTCAGTGACAGAAGCAGCAATAGACACAAGTATGAGATATATTCCAGTGAAACATAAAGAAAAGCTTTTTTACCGTGCTGGTGCTCAAACACTGGAACAGGACTCCAGAGAGCTTGTTGAATCTCTGTCTTGAGATACTCAAAACTCAACTGGCTATGGACCTAAGCAGTTTGATCTAACTGGCAGGGGCTTAGAACAGATGACCTCTAGAGGTCCATTCCAACCTAAGTTATTCCGTAAATGTGCAGGCAAGACTGAGCTACACCTTGCCTTGTCCTGTTTCTTCCTTATGGAGCTAAGAGAAGTCACCTCCTCTGAGAGAACTTGGTCCTCCAGAGCAAGTGTCGTCTGCTTTTTAGCTGCTTGTGGAAATATTTGTTTGACAGTTGACAATGGTTGAACAAAAATGAGTTAACAAGTAACCTTTCACTTAACATTTCAGGCACGGCAGGAAGCTGTCTTCGTAAATTTAGTACCATGCCTTTCTTATTCTGCAATATCAACAACGTATGTAACTTTGCGTCAAGGAATGACTATTCCTACTGGCTGTCCACTCCTGAACCCATGCCAATGAGTATGGCTCCTATCACTGGGGATAATATCAGGCCATTCATCAGCAGGTATGGTTTCAGTTCTGCTGTGTTTGAGAAATGAAGAAACCTGTGAGAAGTGCGTATTGTACTTTATTTTTTTGGAAAAGGCTTTTAATCTGTATATTTTTATTTCCTGCCTTTAAATTTAAAGTTTGAGTTCCTTTGATGAAATGTTTCAAAGCGTGCGTGTTTTCAGTTTAGACTTTGATCAAAAGTAAATCCACTTTGGGGGAAACCCAAACAAATAGAGTAGTCTGTTTCAAGTCTAATTGAAATGAAAAGGTTTACTTTGAAATGGTGTTTTGCAAAAGCTATGATGTACTTTGAAGAAGTTTTGAACTTATTCACAATTCTTGTCCAAAATAATTCTTCTTTTTTTGACTAGCCATAGCTAGAAGCTTTTTAGGGCTCAGTTTCCTTTTGTTTGAAAATGGTACCATTATTTAGCATAGAGTAGACTGCCAGTCTTCTTCCTTTGTTTTGGACATACTGCTTGAATACAGCTATTATTGTCCGAATTAAAGGAAACAGTTGCACAATCAATCATCTATTTTTTAATAATTCCAGATTCTCAGCTAGCATAAAGTATGGCACTTATTCTAGACATAACTGTTCTGCATCAATCCAACACCTTGAACTTTTGGTCCACTTTAAATTTTAAGGCCACTAGCAGAAGTTTTCCAGGTGTAATAGGCCCAGTGCTGCAGGTAGAGGTGTGAGCAAGTGTGTGGTGAGCTGTACCACTGACATTAGATGAGAATCTGACAAGCGAAGCTCCAACTTGTAAGTTAAATGGTAATCAGTAGATATAGGCATTACTGTGACTCCCGTTGTTGCTTCTAATCTGTATCAGCTCTTGCTGATCCCTCTTCCTGCCATATAAATTGAATGAGAGTGGAGATTGCTGTTACAGTTTTCTTGGGTCTGTATATGCCATCCAAGAGAAAGTGTGATTCAAATCATCAGTGGGTTGTGGTCTTGACATCTTGGTATGTTCAAAAACCTATTTGGCTCTATGCAAAACATTTGATGTTTATTTCGCATAATAGAATCCATCTCTATTTTTTCTCATCTCTGTATTCTATTTTTGGCTTAGTGCCATAGAAATTGATATGCCTTGAAAATGAGTGGGCAGATTGAGGACAAGATTAACAAGAGATACTACAGTTTTTGTTGGTCTTGCTTTTTCGGTTGCTCATTGGATGTGAATGGAAGGGACTTGACTTTCAGAAAAATTCAAATGACCAGTCTCTGAAATTTGTGTTCCTTTTATGCCGTCCCCCGTCAAGTACCTAAAATAACCTTTAATAATATCTTTTAAACTCTTGCTCAAGGAGGTACCCACCAACATTTTGCTTTATCTTATGCATATAGAGTAGCTTTTGCACCATAAAAATGTCTTATGTTTTGTATCTATATGTGTGTGTATATGTATATGGGTTTTCTCCTTTTAGCCGTAGTAGGGAGTGAGATAATTGTAATACACATTTTTTAAACCAGCAAGAAATCTGAGAAAACTCTTCTTTCAATTTATTTTATTAGTGGAGGCTTTTAAACCAACAGTTTTCCCTGTCCAGAAGTTGAAAAGGTGTAGAAGTGTCACTTGCTGCCTTGGGTCATGGGACTTCTTTTCATGTAAGGCCTTCCACTGAAATACCAGAAATCTCTTGAAGCAAAGCAGACGTCCAAGAATAGAAGCAGCTTTACATTCTTCTTTTAACTTACTCTTTCATTGATGTGTTTCTTAAAATAACTGTCTTGCTTCTGCACTAAAGATGAAGGCAGTAGGTATGAAAGCAGTCTTCACAAGTCAGAAATAGAAGGCTTTCATTCTGAATTTCCTTGCTTCTGTGTGTTTTCCAGAATCCAACTTAATCCATTTTGCGCTTGATTCCTTTCACTGCTCTGATAATAGGAATCAGACTGTTTAGTTCTACGCGTCTGTTTTGAATCATTATCATCATTGCTAACTGCAGTAGCCAATTTAGGAGTTGTACAAGAAAAAGTGGATTATCTCTACCAAATTCCTTATTACCAGCTCTCGTATTAAAATTTCCAGGCCAACTCACGTTTTTCATGATTCTCCTGTGGAGGCACAATCAATCATTGGATTATTCAGTAACCTAGCAATTCTGAGACACAATGAATTTATCTGAAGTAAAAGAACTAGTGCTGCATAGCTTTCTGAAGAGTTGCTTTCAAGTTCATTGTTCAAGTTCTTCGCTAGAAATCTCTTACAGCAGATAATGACCACAAATATAAATAAAAGCCACTTTCAAGGAAAATGCATGGGGCAGTCTGCATTAGATTAGATTAGCAGTGATTACCTTTGTAAGACATTTTCCAGAGAGATGGCTGTCTTTCTGGAAGTCACTCAGGGCTATGTTTGGGATGATGAATGGCTGTTACTTTTCTCTGATCACGGTAGACCACTTTTAAGGGATACTTGCTGAGTTGCAATGTTTGTCTATTTGCCTCTCATGTTCATGACATTGAGCACTTTCAGAAACTACAGTAAAAATGAGACTAGAAAAAGATAAATATGTTTAAATATTTAGATAAGAAGTCTCTTCTTCTTTGCTCATAGGAAGGCTAATAGGGATAAGACTTAGTAGTTAAAGTGTCCCTAAGTAAATGAGAGAAAAAAAAAAAAAAAGAACCAATTGTTTTTTTTTCTAAACGAGACATTTCGATTTTCCTTTGTTTTTGAAGCTGATGCCATTTTCTAATTCAAGATTCCTTAAAGAAAGTAATTTCTGAAAAAAAAAGAAGATGTATGAATCCTCAAGTGCATGTAACTCATTCATGTCTTGGTCTTTCTAGATGCTCTGTGTGTGAAGCTCCTGCTATGGTAATAGCCGTTCACAGTCAAACAATTCAAATACCACCATGTCCTGAAGGCTGGAGTTCACTTTGGATTGGTTACTCCTTTGTCATGGTAAGTGCATTGGAGCATACTCTGAGTTGAGAAAAGCATTTATTTCAGGCGTTTGACCTACACTCCTGCTCTGGGAAAATTAATATCTGACTATGTCACTTCATGTATTAGGAGGGCATTAGACCTCCACCCTTTCTGGTGACTTTAAAAAGTTTCTGGCTAAGTACTAAATGAGAATAGTGCTATAGCAACTAGTTGTTCACTTTTGGGGAAATGCATGCAGCTTGCTCTCTTGTTTGCAGCTCCAGCACAGGATCCAAGTGCTGAATAAATGAGGAAATAAGAATAATTTTCCATTTTCCTTCTGCATCTGTGTTGCAGTAGCTTCCTAGAGTGGTAGCATATCAGTGCCTGTCCTCTTCCCGTTTTTTGTTAAGAAAACCTTCAGTTTGAAAATGGCAGTTTTGACCTTTTGTGCAGTTTCTTCAGCTGCGTCTATGCTAGTAACGTAAATAGGTCCAGGGAGTCACCTGGAAGAGGCACTCTGTAGTCCTCCATAGTGGTTAGTTGTTAGCATGCTTCCTGTCATACTCGCAGCCTGTATCAGCAGCAGCTCTCCCAGGCAAGGTTTGGGCATGGTCCGAGAAACAGCATGGATCCAGAGCTGTTAGCACTCGGCAGTGGGAGAGAGGCCACTGTGATGTGGAGGAGGAATTGAGTTAAGCTATTTGGATATAAACTGTACCAGTCTGTATGCTTTCTGGCCAGAGAGCTGGCCCTGGCCTGTTGCTAGCATAGAGATGACTTGGGTCCTACTGTCCGTCCTGAAGGATTTCTGTGCCTACAGCTGCCCTGAAGTTGATGTTGCTGGTGTATTGTGCTGCCATAAAGTGAGAGAACCCAGTGCCAACTCTGGGACCCCTTCAGCTCCACCTCCTTGTTCCTCCTTGAGCTGAGGGACAGAGCAACAGATGGACACAACAGAGAACAAGGACAGGCATGTGAAGAAA